AAAATTATTTCTGCAGTCACTGCACATACAGCAAATTAAGATACTATTTCGTATCCTGACTTTTTTTTTTCAAAAAAAATAGTGGAATCCACTTTTTGTGTTAGCTGCAAATAACAGCTCTCTGCGGCCGCTGAAAAAAAATGTCACATATATATATATAAACTGTCTTTAGCATAGAGACACCTTGCATAATTTATTAGCAGAGAGACAAAGTTTTTACTCTTAACCACCGCCATATTTTATAAATTTTCTAAATATGCCTAAATGAGCATTGAATTATTTGCATTGGGTTAATAAAATGTATGCACTATATACATCCTCACTTTCACTTTGTTGTTGACACCATCGACGACGTAAGCATTGTGTGTGTGTAAACTACATTTTATAATTATTATTTTTAAATCAAGAAAAAGAGTAAAAGCTATGTTAAAATATTAATGTGCAAATGAAAAAAGATCTTTTTTATTCTCTTCTTTCTTAAGTGCTGGGGAAGGTGAAGTTTGAGTCTTGGACTCTTGACCCTTGCACCTGTACTTTACAAAACCTTACTTAGTGGGCCGGTACAAGGTTAGAACCATGGCCCATGGGCTACCCACAAAACTATTGCCATCACATGAGCTTGTCCACAAAGGACAAGGGCTCACAAGGCTAAAAGAAATGAAACAAATTCAATAACTTGCACTGGACAGGTTGCTCCTTTCCATCTCTCTCTCCAGAATTGAAGAGAGATATGTCTATAGGCTGAGAATAAGGTGCTTCATCATTTATTTATTTTTTATAACTGATTCTAATTTCCTCTTTTAGGTAAATTAGATCCCCTCTGCATTTCTATAGTTCAACTTTTTAAGTCATTTATGAAATTAATCCAAAATTTAGGATTATAGTCTGCATTATGATATTTCTTTTTCCCTCCCCAATGTTATATTTGGTGGGACTCGAACTATAATTCTTGTACTCACCTTACTCAATCCTCTATGACCAACTGAACTGACTTGGATAAGGCATTTCGTCTATTGTAATAAGTATCAAATATCAATACATGTTTAATTTAGCTGAAATTTCAGGGAATAATCGTTTTTTTTTTTTAAATTCTCAATAAGATTTTAATCATTAACTATTTCAACCATAAAAATAAATTATAGCATTGTGTAAATGAAAGCTTTCACTCTAAACGATATTAAATATCTCTCACTAAACGTATATCTATGTATTATAGGATAAATATATAGGGAAATAATACTCTCATACCACATGAGATACTTTCCTTTTCCTACACAAATTCGTTTTCCGTGCCAAATAATTTTTCTTTTTTTCTTTAATATAAAATATGGGACCCACATTTAACTTCTCTCTACTTTTTTTCTCTCCTACAATCCTACAACATAAGAAAAGCTAAACCCAAATATATATTATTATATAAATTATATAAGTAATAGCAAAGACGCGTAAATTATATAATAAATTATATATGAGAAAAAAATTATCCTTTTAAATGACACAACTTATATCATTTCACTCTCACAAAGAGATGAGACCCACACTTTTACTTTTTTTGTCAACTCTCTCTTCACCTTTTTTTTTTTTGGAAATATTTCAATCGGTTCATCGCTTCGCAACTAATCCGATTCGGGGCGGCCAAAGGTGGTACTGGGAGGATTCGAACACATGCTCTCTCCCCACCTGCTCAGCTCTCATGCGCCAACTGAGCTACCATCATTCGGTACTCTCTCTCCACCTTTATCTATTTATTTCTCTCTCTAAAAATGACACAAATTTACATTCTTTAACATGATACACACTTTTTCCATTATATATTATTACAAACCATACCAAATTACCAATTATAAAATTGAAATTACAACGATGTGATCTTAAAACTGAATTTACATGATCCTAGCAAAAGATATCAAACCGGGGAAAGGAAAATATGTTTGAGTGAAAGTTTTAACTTGTATTGCTTAAAATAAATCTTAAAACAATATTTGAATTTCAATCAAAAGCAAACTTGGTTACAATTTTTAGTTGTGCTATTCTTTTAAATGGGTAGCATTTGATAGTGCATTTTGATGCATACGCTCTTATATTTAAAATTATAGTTCATGCTTGAGGGCTATGCTATGGGCCACTTATACATGTATTTTTTCACTCTAAATTCATGTTTTCTTGATACAACTTCCATCATATTTAATCAATCATATTGTTTTTTATGCTTTATTTTTTGAAAATTTAAATTCAAATTCAAATTTCATTAAAAAATGATTGAATTTCATTTAAGTGATAAAACATATTTTATCCTTTCAATAATAATAAATTGATTACTATCATTTTCATTTTAAATTTAATTAAATATTTCTTACCTCATATAAGAGAATATATATATATATATATATATATATATATATATATATATATAAATGAAACTAATAGTAAGTCAATTACTATCAATTTTTTAAATCAATTTAAAAATCTTTCATCTTATATAAGTGAATAAAGATATAACTGTATAAAAAATTTAACTAAAACTTTTAAATTTATGGATGATTATACATAATTAACCTTTTATGTTATTCCGTACATATCATGGGTTTTTAAGCTAGTTCTCGTCTTCTTTAGACTCAAATTTACTCTAGCTGAGCGACTTCTTCTGTATACTCTATGTACTACTATTCAAGCTTGTCGTCATCTCCAACTTCATCTACCTTATCACTCAAATCTCATTACTCTCTTTCATCGACGAGAGTCGTTTGGTACAAGATATTTTTCAGGATTTTTGAGAAATTAAATTTTTTTAAATTTTTAATTTTCGGATATTATCGTAAACTGAATGTTTTTATCATATTTCTGAAAATCGAGATTTTCGGATAAAAAAAAATTTCTTCTCTACCAAAAATAAAATTGGTATTTTTTTTTCCACCATGAAATCTTTTTTATTTATTACTAAATTTACAGTTGTTTTTATTACTTTATTATTTTCAGAATTATTAGATTATTTAAGTAGTAGGTAGTTATTTTGTTATTTGAATTTTAACTTTCCCAAAGGATAGAAAATAGTTATTAGTGGAGCTTAACTAATGTTAGTGGATAGTTACTTTTAAGTTTGGCTTATATTATTAATTTAAACTTTAAAATAATGGAATAAAGATCATCAAGATAAGAAGAAATATTTTGTTCGCTTGTTTATGTGCTTGAGGCAGGGTTCCCTCAGTTGAACTCATATTCCTTATTTTCTTCCAAAATATTAGAAATCAACACACACATGAACTGAAAAATGAAAAAGAGAAAGGGACGAGAGATTTGACATAGTAATTTATCATTTTTCACCCAATGTAAGCTACGTCTAGCTTGTCTGTACAATATTCAGCTCACTGTCACTCATTACAAGTCATTCAGTTTACAAGAAAATATAAATAGGATTTATAAAACCCAAACAACAGTTATTCATGGGCCTAACTTCAAACTACTAAGTAAAAAAAATTACAATGTCTCAGAGGCCCACAACATTACCAGGCCTCTGTGGGTCGGGAGCGCTTCCTTTCTGCTGACCCCGCCAATAAGGGTCATCATCAATATGCGAAGTACGAGTCATACCCAAAATAAAATTGGTGTATGTAAAAGCTTAGTGTCAAAGCCGGGAACAGACACCACACACAGGGAAATGTTTAGAAAAATTAGAAGATGCAGTTCAGGCACTCTCCATTCAATTGAATGAGATGTTCACCAAACTCTCCAATTAACTAGATGCTCTAGTACCAATCACAAAACTTTTCAATTTCCATTATTCTTATTTCATTCTTTAGGCTTGTACACTCAAACATTTATCTCTTTCTCTTTCCACCAAACAAGTAACCCCCTTTAACACTACCATTATTATTAAAATATTGAATGTGGTCAAAGTGTCTAAATTAAATAAGGCCCCTCAACCAACTCCACAAAATATCTGGTCCAATGAGAAATTCACTTTACCAACAAAGCTCGGCACAATTGGTAGATAGTTGGATCCTTTAAACATGCTGACAGGGTTTCAATCTCTGGTCATGTGTATAGAAAAAGCTTTGTTGAGAGAGGTTGTACTCACAATCACGTAATCTCTCAACCTCAAGGGGATTAGTCCTTGGCTTTCGGTTGGGGGATACCTTTGCAACAATTTCCAAAAAAAATGAGAAATTCACTTGAACGATTCTTTGAGAAGATGAAAGAAAGAGTTATGACTAGAGTATATTTTTCAATCAACAACAATAGAGAAGCAGACATGAATATTGAAGATGATTCAATTACTTAATGTTGATCTTACTCTTGGAGACGAGTAACTTTTTAAGGGGGAGAATGTTATAGTTGTTTTTATTATTTTATTATTTTCAGAATTATTGAATTGTTTAAGCAGTGGATAGTTATTTTGATATTTGAATTTCAACTTTACTAAAAGATAGGTAATAATTATTGGGGTAGGATATTGTAACAACCAATTAGGGTTACTACCAATGTTACCACCAATCAATTTTAATTGATTATGTTGATGCAACGGTTATATTTATTTTTATCTTTGTATGGTTATGATTCCCCATATTTAATGCTTTCGAAAATCATAATCCTTCAAAGATAGAAATAAATATAAAGTATTAAATATGGGGAATCATAACCATACAAAGATGAAAAAAATATAACCGTTGGATCAACATAATCGATCTAACGGTGAAATTGATTGGTAGTAACATTGATAGTAACCCTAATTGGTTGTTGTTACAATATTCTACCTCATAATTATTAGTGGAACTTAATTAATATTAGTGGATAGTTATTTTTATAATTGACTTGTATTATTAATTTCAACCTTGAAATATTAAAATAAAAATCATCGGATAAAAAGAAATATTTTATGCACTTATTTATTTGTTTGAAATAGGATTCCTTGATTGAACTTAATTCCCTTATTTTCTTCCAAAATAACTTTATATAACAGCAGATAGCAACAGCTTGCTGAAATTTAATGTGATCAAGCTGCAATTCAGAGTACGTTCTCCAATATATGTGTGGGATTGTACGACAACATAGTGAACATACAACATTTCACATTACACGGGAAGAAATTATAGGATACTTGAAAATGTATGATAATGAGATATTAAAATAGGAACAAAAAGCAAAACACGAAGGATTTCTGATGCTGTAAGTAAAACTACCATGACTAATTTCTTCCATATGTGTCGTGGCGGCAGCTCGTACAGATGCCTAATTGGACACGAGACATTGGCTAAGCCTTGCAGTTAATTCCTTTCGCATAATCTTGCCTGAGGCTGCTTTAGGAATAGTGTCGGTGAAGAAAACTTTGTTGATTCTCTTGTAAAATACCACCTGCCAGAAACACACATCCATCACACTCACACCCCCAATAAAATCAATTACAACCACAAAATTATAAATTATAATTCATACAAGGAAAAGTGTTTCTATATCACGAGATAAATACAGGGCAATTTTATAAATTTTCTTTCCCTCTTTTATCATGAACTCTTCCAAAATACTTTACCATGTGTCGAAAGTCTCATTCATATGCTCTTTACTATTCTCTCTCCTATTTTCACGAGATGGATCTATACTATCTAATTGCAAGTCTTTCAAGTTTTTCTGACTAAAAAAAGAACCGGAATTAGTAATACCTAACAAATGTGAATTATATAGACTTGTGGGCTTTTAACGTGTTTTATTATCATAACCTCACTAATTGCTTGAACAACTCGCTGATTGACTACATGGGGTAAGAAAAAAAAATTACGGTGACGAGATTTTATTTATTTATTTATATAACGGTGACACTGAGGTTTGAAATCTATCACTTAGCCAAACTATCCAAACTTTCACCGATCAATTCTAGTGGCTTGTTGCGAGATTTTTCATACCAAAATTATTTTATTTTGAACTGGACTGGCACGTGACACTAATTGGATTAGTGCTCCCAAAAAATAAATAAGGAAGAGACCTAACCGATCTAGCAATAATTTTGGAAAATATTACGTGTCATTCTGCTCTATATATGATATAGGACAACATAAATAGTTTTAAAAAGTCTCGTAATAGTAAAAGACTTTTTACCCCACGCAATCAGCCTCAACAACTCAGCGATTTGTTTTTAAATAATAAATAAGTGCTGTACAATAAAAATAACTTTCCTTTCTTAGTGTCTGTTTGAATCTTATTTTTTTTAAGCTAGAAGCTACTTATAAGCATAAACTAGTAAGTCAATTAAATTTTGAAAAAAGCTCTTATAATGAAAAGTTTTTTTTTTTTTTTTATAACAAAGAAAAAAGCTGAAAACTAAAAGCTTTTTTTTAAGCTCTTTTCTGTTTTTCTTGAATTATGTGCTTTTTTCTTTTTAAATAAAAAGTGATAAAGATAGAAAGAGATAATTTTCTTGAAATATGTGCTTTTAAGTAATCTTTAAGTTAAAATTTTTATGTAATTTCTAAAAAGCTTTTAGCTTCTTCTTTTAAGCTTTTTTTATCTTTAGCTTATAAGTAGCTTCTAGTCAAAAATAAGAGGATCCAAACAGGTTCTTAATGGACTCACATGTGAAAGAAATCTAAAAATAAATACAATATATTACATGCACCTAAATGAATAGTTGTGATTGTGACCTCGTAAGAAAAAATACCTTCTAACTTCACACGTGTTTCCTGCTAATTTGATTTGAGTATCTTCTTAATTGGATCTAACTAAAGTTTTTTTTTAAGTTTATAGTTATTTTAAACTAAAGTTAAAAAAATAATTTAAAACATAAAACTAAAAGTTCTGTGGTGATTATATAAAGATGTTATAAAAGTTTCGAATAAGGGATGTTATAAAAGTTTTGAATAAGGGAAGATGAAATAATTTGTAATTAAGATGAATTATTAAGGTAAAGAGTAAAATTGAAAAATACAATTTAGAGTAAGGATGAAGCTGAAAAATAAATATAAAAACTCCAAAAAGTTAGTATATATATTACAAAAAAAATCTTTTGGAGCTTTTTGCTCTCTTTTTTATTTATTATAAAAAAAAAATCTCTTTTTATAATAAAAGTTTTTTCAAATATATTTGCCTAAGTTTCTACTTATAAAGGGAAGTGAAGCTAAAAATTAATTTTCAAACGTAGCACTAAGAAGTACTAAAAAAACCTGGTCGATGGTAATAGAAAAAGAACAAACTTATATATAAATATTAAACTGGTCCTTAAACTCCTCACACTCCCATAAAAAAAAAAAAAAAAATAATAATAATAATGGTAAAAAGAACCTGTTGTGAAATGTATTGCTTGATTTCATCTTCGGTGATCTTAGAACCATTTGATCTTACAACAAATGCAACTGGAAGTTCTCCGGCAGCTTCATCTTTTAAGCTGAAACCAACACCGATGATATTACTCATTTAGAAACTACTGTTAACAAAAAATATTTATGAGTATATAAGACACCGTTTTTTTTTTTCTTCAAAATTTACTAAAAATATTTGTGACAAATTTTAATTTGTTAAATAAAAGATTTTTTTTAAAAAAAAAAAATTGAAAGTTGGGCCTTGGCTTGAAAACTATTAGGTAACCACCAACTTACGGTACAACGGCAGCATCAGAAATGCTTGGGTGAGCAATCAACATTGCTTCGAGCTCAGCAGGAGCAACTTGGAATCCTTTGTATTTGATAAGCTCTTTTAACCGATCAACAATGAAGAGCTCATCATCATCATCTATGAAACCAATATCACCAGTATGTAGCCATCCTTCTTTATCTATAGTTCTCTCTGTGGCCTCTGGGTCATTTAGGTATCCTGACCAACCACAAATCATATAGCATCTTTATGGGGAAAACATTATACAATAAATTTTCATATCATACTAAAAATAATAATGTTATTGTTGTGTAACATATTATAATGACAAGGCTTTAACTAATTAAAATTATATTTAATATGGGCATTTGAAGATTTACAGCTGTTATAGTCCGGTATTAAACAAGTACTCCAAGAGTCTTCTAATTGACCTTATCTATTTTCATGCCAAAGTGAAGTGAGACTGTTGTAGACGTGGAGCATAATCAGTGCCTTACAGGTCCTATAATCAAAATTATTGTGACTACTTGGACCATATAATGACGTCAATACGGGAAAAACAAGTAAAATGAGTTAGGTGAGGATATGGACTTCATAAAGTGATCAACTAGAGACGTCGCAATGCTGGCATGTCATCATCACCTTCAATTTCAACTTTCCCTAGAACAGCTTTTGTCAAGCCTTACAAGTTTCCTCACCTATCAACGGGTTGAGGAAACTTACATATATGTATCAACGACTTCCAAGGTTCGATCCATGAGAATTTAGAAGCGCATATATATTATAGACATATAAAAATGTGTGGGTTGGTGTTTTTCTTTTGGAGTTTATTAATCTCATGCAATAGGAGAGAAGCTCTGTCACGCTACGAGACAATCATGTGTGAGACCCATCACTTATAGAAAAAGATAAAAAAGTAACGCAGAAATCGATGTATATGTAGTAGAGAAAAACACTCTCCTACAACATAAGAATATATTTTTTCTTTTTTCTCTCTCTTCTTTTTTATATGATTCCACACATTTTTATATATATAACAGATAATATTATCTCCTATAACATAACAATATTAGAAGACATTAAACTCATAATATTTTACAATTTTGCACAAATATTTTGACAATTAATGTTGGATTTAGACATTTACAGAAACTATTGCATATGATGGGTATTAATGGCAAGCCATACAAGTAGCAGCATGACAGCATCTATCAATGCGGGTGAAGAGATTTGGTAGAACATCTCAACGACTCCAAGAATTTTAACTAAGCTAAAAATACAGGCGGTTGTTGAGATGGATTATAATAATGATGTAAAGTCAATTTGGTATTTCGATTGAACTATTTAAAAAAATAAAATTAAAAATGACTCAATCATAATCTAACTAATATCAGACCAAAATTAAGTTAATTCAATAATTATATAACACATAAATGTAGATATTGTACAAGATTAGGTTATAAATTGTGAAATGTAAGAAACAAAAAATAAAAGATAATTTAAAATAAATATTATAAAAAATTACTTTAGAAATATTATTATATTATATAAAAAATTTATATTTCTTCTAAAAATAAAATTATCTCATACAACTCCATCAATATAGGGTTTTAAAAAAATACATGAGATTTCAGGAAAATTTATATTGAAAGAGAGATACAAAATTTTAAAATGCTTCATTTTTTTTTAAATTCAAAAATAACATTATTTTGGGATTAAATAGCATGAGAAATATTTTTCTCTTATATGAATTATATCAATTTAAGTCTATAATTATTATATTATTTTTATTAAAAAATCCTATTTTATTTTTTGAAAAATCAATCTAAACACTGTAATTAAAAGAGTGAAATTTGCCCACCAAGAAAACAAGTGAGTGAAATTTAACGCAATAAAAGCTAGCTAAGTGCTGCCACACAATTTTATTCTATTATAGAATCTTAGCAATTGATGTTGAATATAATGTATCTCCTTTAACAAGTGGAGGAACCACAATATTCCTGCCATTAGAATTGATGTTTTTTCGAGAACGGCGCACTTTTAAAATAAGAACAAGAATACCTCAAAAAAAAAAAAATCTTTCTGAGCATACTTTTTTTCAAGATTTTAACTCTTTTCTTAATTTTGAAAATCGTATTATATATACACATACACACGATTTAAACACTTAAAAATACGTATATATCTTAAAATAGTACAACAAATACTTATTTGAGAATATATAAAATAATAAATAAATGTAAATTTATAAATCATTATAAATGAAAGTATTTTATTTATTTTATATTCATAAATATATTTCTCATTTATTTATTATATATTCTATTAAATATATATTTTCAAATTACATAAGATAATTTTGTTCCATTCACACATAAATTACTTATCTCTCTTCTTCTTAATGAGTTTTCTCTATTTTTTTTTGTTAGTGTCACGTTTTATTTTTCTTTCAATTTTTTGTATGGCTTATAATAGGCTTATGTTATTTCCTTTATGAAATACAAAACAATATTCTCATATTTAAACATTGGTACAAGAGATAACAGTTTGGTTGGATCGAGTATTTGAAGGTGATGATATTTTAAAGCCTTCGCAAAAAGTTAGTTCGACATCAATACTCGTAGAGAAGAGATTTATGCAAAAGTTACCTTTAGGAAAGAACACGAAGATGGGCCAATGATAGAAATTTTCAATGCGAGACATGATAAAAGACAAAAGTTAGAAATGAACAGAATAAAGGTTATATGACTGCGAAAAATTCACAAACTTTTTTTGGATTAAGATGTGGTGTGAGTCCACTAATCTATATGGCTCTTTTACGAGAATATTTCACGTATTTTTATATGTTAAATGTGACAAAATTACGTCGGAGAAACATATTCGACATATTCTATACAAATAATACTTTTTAAGAGTTTACACGCGTCTGGCTTACAGTAAAAGCAATCGGTGTCGACAGTTGGTGGGGATGTAAAAGCTGCTTTATATTGGATCCCGCAGCACTTGTATGATGGACAAAGCACGCGAGTTCTGGATAGGGTACCGCTACATACTCAAAAAGATTATGATATAATCGTGTTATAAAAAGAAGAGTAAATACTTTTTTTTTTGGTCCCTGTTAATATCTACGAAATTTTTTTTAGTTTCTGACAATAAAAAAGGACCAAATTGGTCCCTAACAGTATGAAAAAAGGGTCACGTTAGTGACGGAGGAGTTGACATAAAGACTAATGTGACCCCTTTTTTTTATAATTTTAAGGATCAATTTGGTCTTTTTTTATTGACAGGGACCAAAAAGAATTTCGTAGATATTGTCAGGGACCAAAAAGAGTGTTCACTCTAAAAAGAAAGGAAATGTTTATCTTTTTAATTCACATAATTTATATTCTATCACTTTTACAAAGAGGTGGACGCTTTTATTTTTTTTTTGTCAACTCTTCTTTTATTTATTTATCTTTTTTTATTTATCTTTTTCTCTCTTAATATCACTTTCCCTCCTTTAAAATAACATATCATTTTTCCTAAATTAAAACCTTATCCTCTCTCTCTCTCCTGTTCCACCAAACCCAACCACCCATATAACCATTCAGAAAAAAAATTCTTATAATGTGATCCAAATATAAATGACAACGTCGATTGATATGTTTACACACAGGAATTATCAAAGCGGTTTTGGTTTAAACCTACAGAAGACATTTTGTCCCTTTAACGGGCGAGATTATCAGCTCAGCTGATTATCAGAAAGGAAAAAAAAAAAGGGCAAATGAAAATTAAAGGAAGTGTTCATGTTAGAAGTTTTAGATTGGATTTATGTTATATTAAAGTTAATAAACGAGACACCAAGCTTCTTTGTGATGGTGAGGACAAAGGACAAAAATCAGAGAATGAGGTATCGAAGTGTGGTAAATAGTGAATACCTTTCATAACCTTTATTCCTCTAACGCAAATTTCACCGGCTTTGTTTCTTGGAAGAGAAGCACCTGTCTCCGTGTCTACAATTTTCACCTCGGTGTTTCTTACAACAGTTCCGCAGGCACCTGATTTTGTTTCGAATGGTTCCTTTGCAAATCCCAAGCTAATGGAAAGTGGTCCTGCCTCTGTCATACCATACCCCTGTACATCAAAATTTTATTTATCTCTTTTTTCCTTTCCTTATTAATTCATAACAAGTAAAAAAAAAAAAACGCCAAAATTTAAGTTGGTGAGATAACATATCATCTTGCGTTAATTATTATTTTATTTATTATCATAAACAAATATAAAAAATACTTTTTTTTCAAGTTAGAACCTACCATTGAAATTAGCCTCCAGAAGAAGCACATAAGGGCCCCGCGAGGAGATAAAGCGGCAAAAGGAACAAAACACATTCCGAGTCTATTAAGAATAAGTGTAGTTTACACCAACAGTATTATTTCTCAATATTTCATATGGATAAATTTGTTGGGCATGGTAACAAACTCGATTTGCTCACATATCATATTTTTAGTGGATACCAAATACTAAGTTCGATACATGAGATAGCAAACTTGATTGCAATACGTAATTTTTATGTATTGCAACCAAATTCGTTATCTCATAACAAATTTGGTGTCCACTAAAAACGTGACACGTCAACAAACCGAGTTCGTTAAAGTGCCAGCGGACTTGCGCACGCGACATATTGAAAAATAACAATGTTCGCGTAAAATAAATTTTTGGTGTTACGATTGCACTGAAGATTCGATGTATCCAACCAATAAAAATATTACATGTCAAACAAAGTTATCTTTTCTATGTCAAACTCTCTCTCTCCTCTGACATTGATGTAATACTTTGATTGGTGAGATGCACTGAATTTAAGTGTAACAGATGCACCAAAAATTTATTCGTTCGCGTGACATATGCATACAAAACTTGATGAACAGTAATATAATTTACTCGTTCGCGCGACATTTGCATACAAAACTTGATGAACAGTAATATTTTCATCAATGTTCAGCTAAAATCTCACTTTGTATCAACCCATCAAAGTTTCTCCTCTCCTCTCATTCATGCAAAATCACAAGTTCAATCTTCAAAATTTCAATTGAATGCATGATTTTTAATTTTATTTTTTTAAAAAAAAGTAATGGAACAAAGAGGCCTGAGTGCTTGACCTGTCCAAGTTTGGCGTGAGGTAGCCTAGCCTTCACAGCTTCCTCGAGTTCCACACCCATGGGTGCAGCACCCGTGATCAGGACCCGAATAGACGACAGGTCGTATCGCTGAGCATCCCCGCTCTTAACCAACGCCAAAACGATAGGTGGGACAAACGATGCAACCGTCACCTTGTACTTCTCGATCAGCTCCAACAACGTAGTAATCTCAAACTTCTGCACAATCAGCACCGCTGCACCAGCGCGAATCCCGCACAGCAAAATGGAGTTAAGCGCATATATATGAAACATAGGCAGCACGCAGAGGAGCACATCCTCGCTGTGAGTGTACTGGTTCGGGTTTTCTCCGTCAACCAGCTGCGCCACCGTCGTCACCAAGTTTTTGTGCGTTAACATCACTCCCTTGGGAAGCCCAGAAGTTCCGGAGGAAAAAGGGATCGCAACGACGTCGTCTGGGCTTATCTTAACGGCGGGGGCTTCGCTCTCGTCAGCGTTCGTCAGCGCAGAGAAATGCAGAACACCATCCTCCGGCGAGGAATCAATGCACATCACCATCACATCGTTGTTTTCAGCGAAACCCTTGATTTTCTCGACGTATGCGGCCTGAGTTATGATCAGCTTGGTGTTCGTCGCCGCCGCTTGCTTCGCGAGCTCTGCAGGCGTGTAGAACGGGTTAGCGGTGGTGACAGTGGCGCCGCGGGGTGAGGCTCCCAGAAAAGCGAGGGCGAACTGGGGACAGTTACGGAGGAGGAGCATGATGACATCACCCTGACAGATTCCGATGGTGTGGAGGCCTGAGGCGATCCTGCGAGCGGTGAGATCGACTTCGGCGTAGGTGAAGGTTTCGCCGGTGTCGCCGTCGATGAGGCATGGACGGTGTTGGTAGTGGGACAAGTTTTGGAAGCAGTAAGAGTATAATGGGAGATGAGTGGGAATGGGAATGTCGGGGAGTTTGGAGCGGAAGATGAATTCTTCTGTAGTTGGTGACATTTCGGGGAGAGAGAGAGAGAGAGAGAGAAAAAGAAAGGGGCTAGCTAATTCACTTAAATTGAAAATTTAAAATGAAGTGGTGCCACTGCCACCACTTACTTATATACATTTATCAACTCTTCAATATAAAACGATGGCAGTTCATTTTGATAGAAATAGAATGGATTAAGTGAAAACGAAAGAGTTTTAGTTTAATTTTTATAAATTATTTTTGAGAAAGATTTAAATATCTTTATGACCCATCTTGTTTTTTGAATTAGTCTCGTATCTAATTTAAAGAATCCAAGCTTACCAAAATATTAAAAAAAAAAAAAAAAAAAACAACTCACATTTTTAAGAGATAATTTGAGATGAGTTGTCTAAAAAGAAAATATCAACTATTTAATTCTGGTTGCATCTTTATGTTGGGAAAGGGACAGGGACTGCCACATTGCCGAATCTGAGAATAATTGTTGATTCCCAATTATACAAAATGTTAAGACGAGAATTATACAAAATGAAATAAACAACAAAATTAAACCAGTAAATTGGTAAGAGATTTTCGTAGTTTGTATGAGATAAAGTTCAAATTTCAGTATGCAAGAATTTCATAATGAAGAAATAAAAACTCAATGCATTTGGAATGGATGATGTGTTATTTAAAATAATAATATCATATTAGACAATTTTAGTCATATATAGACGAAGAAATATTTATATTTTTGTAATTATCTACCTTAATATTTATTTTTGGTAAAAATAGTGGGGCATAGCCAAATTTAGTCAGGAGTAAGTGCAGAATTCTTGGCAGAAATATTTCCTATGTCAGACAAAACTAGTTTCTGAAGTTTTTCAAGAGAAGATAAGTAGAAAGTAGCTAAGGGCTTCTTAATCAAGCTCGAATCTTAATTACTATAAAGTAGTTCTCAATTGTCATAAAGTAAGTTGGTAACGTGAGAGGAGTCACTTTTAAGAGTTTAATATCTTTTATATTATAAAAGAAAAATTATTTTTTATATACACATAAAAATATGTGAAGTTTAAGTGGGCCAATGTAAAAAGAAAAGAGAAAAAAATAAAACATGATTTTCACATAATTTTATGTGAGTATATGAAATAATTTTATCTATTATAATATAAGAAACATTAAACCTCACTTTTAATTATAACTTTTTTGAAACCAAGATGTCAAAAAAATCCCTTCTCCTGGAGAATTATAAAAAAATTCTGCTTAGAGATGAAAGAAAAACCCACGGAATAAAATAAAATTCTGGTTAGAGATGAAATAAAAACCCATGAAAGGAATAAAATTTTAGTATTATCGTCCCACCGAGTGCTGCAACGATGGTACTATAACTATGTATTTCGAGAATATATAGTTATAATATTAAAATTATTATTTTATTTCTTTATAAACTTCTAAACTGACATGGAGAGAAAGAAAAATAATTTTAATATTATAATTATATACTTCATAAAATAAATAATTATAATATTACCATTGTACCAAACACTCATATGCTAGTAGTAAAGTTTTATTACCAAGAAAGAGAGTTTTATCATTAGACTTACAAATTAGAGTTCACAAGCGATTTTATCTTTCAAGAGAGCCCATATAAGGTTTAGGTTTAACCAAGGAGAATACGAGTCCGTTTGTATTGACTTTTCAAGAAAGTTTTTTTTTTATGATTTTCTTATTTTAAAAATAATTTTTATAAAAGTTACAGCTATTTAAATTTTTAAAAAATTATTTGATTTTTGAAAAAAATATTTGACTTTTCACTTCTGTTTTTTTTAAAAGCTAAAATTTTTAGCTTCTAAAAAAAGTAAGTTTTTGACTTTTTTATGACTTATGTTTTTTTTAAAAGTAGACCTCCAAACAGAATTTTATAGAGAAGTACTTTTTTTTCTTAAAAAAAACAGTTTTTGAAAAAAAAAAAAACACTCATTCAAACGAGCTCTATTTCTTTTTTTTCTGATTTGTCCTTGCGTCACACATCAAAAATAAAAAAACATGATTCACGTTTTTACAAAAAAAACAATATTTATTAATTCAATTTGTGGATTAAAAGAGTTTGTATTATGTGGATTCGCATTCACTGTATTTTTATGCACGGTAATCTATCATCTGTCATTGAATTCCTTTTTTTTTTATAAATATAATGTTTCTTAAATATGATTGATTAAAAATTTAAAATATACTTATATAACAGAAAAAAGTTAATTAAAATTTCGTTAAAATTATTTTTAATATTATTTAATTATCTTTAATTAATACATTCTTATATATGAATGGTTATTGGTCACCATTTGTCACCTGCCACACCAACCAAATTTTTTTTACTTTTCATGTTACACAGCCAACTGTAATCACGACTCTTGCAATTGCGGTATCATTTCAAGTTTTCAACATTCACCTACCACCTTTCATCATCCAAGAGGTCAATGACCTTTTGAAGCAATTTTTCAAAAAAATAAAAGATAAAATAACGTAATTTTCAAACAAAATACTAATTTAATGTAATAAATTCCGCATCTAATTTATGCTTGCACGATCCCTACGCGTGACTGTCACGTGCAACAAATCGAAAAGGTTCAGAATTTATTTTGAATAAAAAATAATTTAAATTTAAATCATGAGTAATTTAATATCATTAGTCTCATATAGAGGCATATAAAACTAGGGTATGGGATTTATTAAAATAATATTGCGTTTAATTGAATTTTTACGTTGGTTCGACCGTTTTGCCTTATCCGATCATGGTTGCGTCACTTCTCTGTCACGTTATAATTATTATTGTTACTTTGGGGCTTAGACCTCTGCTTGGGCCCAAACACTACAACAATATGAGAAGCTATAGCACGGGCCTAATAACAACATATAAATTATGGTAACGTACAGACATAGTAATTAAAGCGACATTTTATCTTCCGTATTATGTATCACATTCAAAGATAATTTTGTGGTCGTTAATGTCTCTCTCTTTACAGATATATTTCACATAAATTATAAGGGAGAGTTTATAATTAGGGGAAGGATATTGTGACAACCAAGTTGTGTTACTATCAAGTGACTACCAATCAATTTCACCGTTAATCGATTATGTTGGTCTAACGATTATATTTATTTCCATCTTTGTATGGTCATGATTCTCCATATTTAAAGTGAAAACATTAAATATGGGAAATCATAACTATACAAAGGTGAAAATAAATATAAAGTATTAAATTTAGGAAATCATGACAATACAAAGATGGAAATAAATATAACTGATGGATCAATATAATCGATCTAACGGTAAGATTGATTGGTAGTCACTTGGTAGTAACACAACTTGGTTGTCACAATATCCTTCCCCTTATAATTATTACCTCTCTTTTTTATTATCTTTTATTATCAAATTTTAACCATTGATTTTCGTCAATCTAATGGTTATAATTTATTGGGTCATATTTATTACTTAATTATTAATTTTCAATAAATTATAACCATTAGATTGACGGAAATCAACGGTTAAGATTTGGAAGTAAGAAGTAGTAACTATAACCTCTCCCAAATTATAAATGGGTAACTTTTTAGTAATTATAAATGCGTACAATTTATCTCATGTTGTGTATTAGGTTGTTCATCAACCGATTCAAATTGCGATGACCAAAACAAAAAATCAATAATCGAATTAACTTAAAACTTAAAACTGACAAAAAAATTTACATATTTTAATTGAATTTGATTGGTTTGATTTGATTGGTGAAAATCAATCCAATCTGACTTATTCAATGTATTGTGTGTTTATTATTTTTGAAATATGGTGGTTTGGAATCTTGTTTTTTTGTAGACTTGATCTTGGATATTATTGATAGAAAACTATTTTGTTTTAGTTTCTTACTGTCTATTAATCTATTTTAATTTTTCATGAATTTTAAGACTTATTTTAGTTTGAAGTCTTGAAATTTTCAGTAGTTTGTAACTTTGTATGACTTTATTTTGATATAGCCAGAGTGATTTGTGGGGCTGGAATTTTAGGTTTTTCAAAAAATCAAAAACTTATTCAATCCAAACAAATGAATGATTAAATGATCAAACTGAAGGGATGAATCGATTGATTTTTTCTTCAAAATTGATCCAATTCAGATCGTGAACACTCGTACTGCGAATACAACAAAAACGCTATAAGTGTTTGGGAAAATGCATAAATATTTATCAAACTTGACCTGACTATGAAATAATCATCTTTAACTTTATATATCCAAATGAAAATTCCTTTGAACACTTTAAAAACATGTCATTTTTATTATCTAGTTTATTTGTATTGTTGTTTTAAAAAGAATAAGTTGTGATCCATTTCACTGATTTTCTATTTCCATAAAATAGAAAATGTCATCTATTTAAATTAAATTAAATAAGTAAATGTTCTTAAATTTTTGAAAAATAATATGAATAAATTAAGGGATTAATATTTCTCAAGGAAATAATTTTATCTCTTACATACACATAAAAGTATGTGGTGTTTAGGGGTGAAAGTGGGTTGGGCTGGACCGGGCCGAACTTTGCCCCGAAAAACCCAAGCCTATGCTAAAAAATTTTAAATTGGCCTGACCCGAGCCTAATACTAGTCTAACTGTTAGCATGACTTTACCCGTTTATAAAAAAAACAAATGTCATGGCTTGACCCGTTAGCCTGTTAATTTTTAACTTTCAAGCAGAACCATAAATCATCTTCACAAAATACACAAATTTTGTTGCTAAAGCAAAAATCACGATTTCAATGTCCAAATAGAATCATGAATCACAACAAAACTCATCACAATCTTCATTTAGGTCACTTTCAAATGTAAAATGTTCAAACCAAATAACATATATTTCATCAGATCCAATAAACAAATCTATACTATGCAAATTAAAATAACTACATAAATCCAGCAAACACATCATGATGCTTGTAGTAGCCAACAAATTCTCTTTACCTTCTCTCCCATACAAATATAATTCCAAGATTACATAAGTTGATAAACAATTTGTAAATGTAAAAAAGAAAAACAAGAATAAAGAATAGAAACAAACAAAATAAGATTAAGAAACAAAAAATCTTTTAATAGATTCATATAGGCAATCTCACATACTGAGATGATGGTTCCTCTTATATAAAAAATAAATCCAAATTTCTATTAAAATTTAATTGAATTTAATTAAATTATAAAATAATTTCAATTGATTAAATTTATACCTTTTGTTTTTTCTTAAGTCATACCTCTTACGTAGCCAATTCTGTCGTATATTAACACCTGGATGGTATCTTCAGCCAAGCTAGAACTATAGGCATCAATAATGTTGATTCCTATGGTATTGTAGATATTGGTATATATCTTATGCAACTCTCAAATATAGTATTGGTAAGGGAACAAACCTAGATTTTTTCACCACCTACTTAACTCACATGAACCAATTTAATTATCGTCATTTGGTACTACTATGAATAATATTATTTGATTTAATTTAAAATAAATAATATGATATAGACCGACTTAGGCTTATAGGCCCGACATGTAAAAAAAAGCATATCACCTACTTTCTAAATAGGCTTCTTTAAATGCTTGGGTCTGTTCTATTTGACTATATGTAATAGGTCAAACTTGACCTAATATAGGCTAGGCTATAGGCCCATGTAGGCCGGGGCGACCCACTTTCACCCCTAGTGGTGTCTATATTTTATTTTTTATCTCTTCTCTTTATATAGGCCCCACACACTTCAATGTATGTGTAGAAGATAAAATTATCTAGGATTATTTCCTACAACATGAGAAATATTAATCTCAAACTAAATACGATCATATATATTAATTAAAACATAAAAGCCACATTGATAAATGGATTTTCTTTAAGTTTTTTTATATTAGATTAAATTTTGAATTATTAAAAGATGTTAGTTATTGAACAATACTTGAACTAAAATTCATTATTGTCCTAGAACACACACACATATATATATAATAAGGGTTCATTTTTTCTACAGTCAATGTAGATAACTTATCTACAGTGAGCCCAAAACAACGTCGTTTTGAGACAGAAATAAAGGTATTTTTGTAATTATAATTTATTTCAGGGTTACAATAGTCTTTTTCATTATAATTTTTTAATTTTTTTACCCAAAACGACGTCGTTTTGAAAGCGAATATAGATAACTTATCTACATTCACTTTAGAAATATTAAATCCATATAATAAAATTATCACGTACCCTATTAATTTAAAACGATATTATTTGGACCTCATTACTCTCGTGATGAGTGGATCAAGCTCAACATTAGCTCAAAATGGAATGCCAGATGGGGACTAGATTGGAAAGACATCTTTTATGTCTCGTGTTGGTTTATATGGAGTTGGAGAAATGCGGATACCCACAATAACAACCATAAACGCCCTGAAATGCCTCACATTTGTATTTCAGATTACATTGTTAGTATCAGGAATACCTTTTGTTGTAGCTTACCTCGCAACAATACAGTCCCCGTTAGCAGCTAGATCAGATAGTGGGTTACTCCGGAGATGGACCTCTTCAAAGTCAACATTGATGGTGCTATTGAGAGACACAACTCTTATGATGCTTGTGGTGGTTTGGCTCGAGGTAGTACCAAAAGATGGCTTGGTGAGTTTATCCAGTTTGTGGGACATTGCAACAGCCTTGAAGCGGATTTATGTGTTGTTGTACAAGGCATTTTACTTGTGAGAAGATTAAACTTGAAGAATGTCATCATTGAATCTGATTCATTGGAGACAGTGGCCAGTGTCTCGACGTCCAATGATTTATGGGGAGGTAGTCCACTTGTCTGGAAGATCAGGAAACTCGTAAAGGATCGTATGGACATCTCTGTCAAGCATATTAGGCGGAAGGCCAACCAACCACCAGTGGACTGGCTAGCAAAGAAAAGGTTTCAATATCCCTAACACAGAAACATGGTAGGGATAAATGAGCCTCGAGATGAAATCAAGGGCCTCCGTATTCCAGATTCTGCTAGTTTTTTTATGGAGTTGATGAGTCTCTAATTTATTATGTATTAAAAGTTAATATGAGTATGAAATTAGTTTAAAAATAATTAAAAGTTATGATAATTATAATTAAAGTGTTATTTTATTCTCAGTAATATTCTCATAAAAATTCTTATATTTTGCAGTAATTTTCAGCTCAATAAAGAGACGAATTAAAGAGCTCAAGGGAATTTGCTTTGGATTTCTGAACCATATAATTTATTGAAGATCTAATTGAATCTTCCCTTGAATATTTTTAAGGAAAATTCTCCTTTAAATATAGAAGGGAAGATTTTAAGGATTTAATTAAAAATGTGATTAGAGATTCTAGTGAAGATTCTATTAAAGATATTATTGAAAAAAAAAGATATGGTTTCATCACTATAAGAAGACAACTCTTGTAAACAAAAAGGCTGACACATCCCGAGAGAGGAGCTTTTGCTGGAGATTGGAGAATTAGAGAGAGAGAGAGAGAGAAAAAAAAACTTGAAGAATTGTGCAACAGTGATTTCTTTTCTTCTTCTTCATGACTTCGTATACTTTTTTTACTTCTTTATTTTGTTTAATGCAGTTATGTCTGGCTAAGTTTCTTTTGTACTTAGGGTTATGGATCCGACGTGAATCATTTTTGTTGTTTAAATTGTTTATTTAATAAATTGTATCAGATTGTTAGTGTTTTACCTTGGATTAAATTTATATATTCTTATGCAAATTGATCACTCATATAGAGATTTGAAGGTTAAAGTTCACGATAGACATATTAAAATTTTAATCTTAACAGGGAAAAATATCAATTCTTGCATGATCTATACATAAGCTTGCTTGAATTGCAAACTTTTAGAATTCATCAAGCTTAATGCTTAATCTAAGAGAAATTACTAAGACATTAGGATTCTAATTGGGTTAAAGGGTTAAAGTCACTAAAAAATTAGGATTTAACCAACTATTTTTTTTTTTGGTAGAGATTTAACCAACTAATTAATTAGAAGGTGAATTGTTTGAAATAATTGAGATAGTTTATTATTGAAATTAACTTAAACTACTAAAGGAAGACCAGAGGTGAAATATTTCCTAGCTACATTTCTGTTATTAATCTTAAACTTTGTTTTATTCTTAGTGTTCTTAGTTTCAATTAGTGTAAATTGCAATGGTCTTTAACTTTAATTCTATTATTAAAAATTACTCTTCCAACTACTTTGGTTTGTCCAAATTAAAGGGAATAGTGAAAATAATGCTTGGTACAATTAATCCTCCTGGAACGATAATTCTACTCATTTCTTTATTACTTATACGACCAGTATACTTGCCGTGATCACAACAGTAGTCTCTTAATGTAAGCTGTTTGGCCCTTAGGGGTTGTTTGTTTATTTTTGTTTTCTTTGGGCTTATACCCTCCACAACTACCAAAAAAATATATTATATTGGGTTTTAAAGAAAGAAATTTATATATTTTTTGATAGGGTCTCTTTTTTCTTATGTTGCTGTAAAATAAAAATAAAAATCAATAACCAATTATAACTATGTAAATTTTAAGGAATATATAGTTATAATGTTAAAGATAATTTTTTTTCTCTTCAAAAATTATCTCCTAACATAGAGAAAAAAAAATTTGATTATAATTGTGTATTCTTAAAAATACATAATTATAGTTCGTTCGTGCAAAAACATAAAAAAACACATTTTTCATTTTGATTTTATATATTTTCTCTCTCTGAGGCACCATTAAAAACATCTCAGATTGAATTGGGCCACGTATTCACCCATGGAGGGTAGACCTTGTAATAGAACCTTTTTAAATTGGGCCTATATTGCCCTGAGGTTTTTCCGTAAAATATTGTCTGAATATGCGTTTGGAGTTGAGCCCTTAAATAAAATCTGTTGATTCTCTTGTAAAACACCAGTTTGACACATATATATTTAGGGTTTAGGGTTTACATATATATTTACAATTTCGTAGCAAAATTAAAACCAAAATAAACAAAGCAGGGACAAAAATAAAGTAGAACCGTAGGAGACTACTTTATTGCCGCAGACTACCATGAGAGCCTATTTGTCATTTTTTTAAGCTAAAAATTATATTTAGTTAAAGTTAAAAAAAAAATTCTAAACAAAATTAAAAATTATTTGATAATTATATAAAAAATTTAACTTAAAATTTATTTAAAACTATTCATTTAAAAAATAGTAGTTGATTTCAAAAAAAATTGACACAACTTAAAAAATGCTTATATGAAAAGTTTTTGCTTTTCGATTTTTTTTTTATTATAAAAGAAAATATTTTTATTGTAAGAGCTTTTATAAAAATTTAATTGGCTTAATTTTTGTTTATAAAAAGAAGAGAAGCTAAAAAATAATTTTTCTGGATCCAAATAGAAAAAGAAGCTAAAAAAACCTTCCAAACAGCACTAACACTGTTAAATTTCTTATCTGATAATTGAAAATTAACAAATTCCTTACTTCTCTAAACAAAATAATTGTGAGTTGGCCGATAACAATCTACTTAAACGGTTATTAAAAAATTTCTGTAGCACCAAAATAAAATTGGCATTATATTAAAGATTTCAGCTATCATAAAAATCGGGGTAAAAGAAATGGGTATTATTGATTCTCCTACATGAGATTATGTAAAATGATTTCAGCCGTTTAAATACTGATTAAGTATGATAATAAATAAAAAAAGAATAAATTAGGACAATTGATAAGAAAAAATAACCATTAATTTATATTTGACCTTGCTGAAATTCTTATAACTAAAGAATTTCTACCTATTGTCCCTGGGTACCTCATTTTTTCACTCAGTATCCGAGAAGAAGAAAAACTCTCTCCTATGCAAACACAAACATTTATTCACGATGAAAATTAATATTTCAGCACAGAACTTGCACGGTAATACAAACTCTTAATACAAACTCTTGTCCCTGGGTACCTTATTAATTCCCCCCTCTTTCGTTCTTACTTTCTATTTTCATTGAAAAAACATATATAAACCATAACCTTGATAGGTAGCAAAAAAGAATGATACTTTTATATATTTAAATTTGTTTTGAAAATTATAAGAAGACTTGACTATTTCATTCAAGTAATTAAGAAACTTCTTTCCTTAATGACAAACAAATGATACATTTCATTTCTTACAAATTGGACAACAAACCTTCCGTAAGCCTTGCAGTTAATTCCTTTCGCAAAATTTTTCCTGAGGCTGCTTTAGGAATGTTGTCCGTGAAGAAAACTTTGTTGATTCTCTTGTAAAATACCACCTGCAAGAAACACACACCCATCGCCCCCCAATAAAACCATTTACAACCACAAAAGTTAAAAAATTTAGTTCATATATATGCTATTTCTTACAGCTAACAAGAAATATAGCTTTTGCGTCATTCATCAGGAAATATATGCACACTGCAACAAGAAATACTAATGACAGAAAAATAGATACTGTGATATATGTAACTAAACGAGCATCGATGTAGGGATTGCTTTTTTAAAGTAATAGAAAAAGAACTGATTAATTTTATAGAAATATTTAACTCATCTTTAAACTCCACATATATATATAATCCTATAAAAAGAAAAGAAACCAGTTATTTTGACAAAGAGAACCTGTTGTGAAATGTATTGCTTGATTTCATCCTCGGTGATTTCAGAACCGTTTGATCTTACAACAAATGCAACTGGAAGTTCTCCGACAGCTTCATCTTTCAAGCTGAAACCAACACCGACGATATTACTCATTTACAAATTACTGTTAACTACCAATATTTATGAGTATATAAGATAGTTTATATATTTCCAATATTTACTCAAAATATTCACGAGACAAATTATAATTTCTTAAATAAAAATATCAAAGGGCCTTGGCTTAGAAAAACATTAGGCAACCAACAAGGATTAACTGATAATAATGGGTTGTTGAGAACACATTTGTGTTAAAATTTTGTAGAGAGAACTTTGCCGCCCTAGTGGTCTTACTTTGCTCAAATTGAATTAATCGAATAATTGATGAATCGACGGATAATATAAATAAATAAATAAATAAAACATTAGACAACAAACTTACGGTACAACGGCAGCATCAGAAATGTTTGGGTGGGCAATCAACATTGCTTCGAGCTCTGCCGGAGCCACTTTAAATCCTTTGTATTTGATTAGCTCCTTTAGACGATCAACAATGAAGAGCTCATCATCATCGTCGATGTAACCAATATCACCTGTGTGTAGCCATCCCTCTTTGTCTATAGTTCTTTTTGTGGCCTCTGGGTCATTTAGGTATCCTGACCATCCACAAATCATATAACATCTTAGGGGGAAAAACGTAATACAATAATTTTTCATATCATACTTAAAAAAATAATGTTATTGTTGTGTAACATGTTACAATGACAAGGCTTATGTTAACTAATTAAATTTGGGCATTTGAAGATTTACAGCTGTTATAGTCCGGTATTAAACAAGTACTCCATGGATCTTCTAATTGACCTTACCTATTTTCATGCCAAAGTGAAGTGAGACTGTTATAGAGGCGAAGCATAATCAGTGCCTTACAGGTCCTATAATCAAAATTATTGTGACTACTTGGACCCTATAATGACGTCATAATGAGAAAAACAAGTAAAATGAGTTAGGTGAGGATGTGGACTTCATAAAGTGATCAACTAGAGACGTTGCAATGTTGGCATCACCTTCAATTTCAACTTTACCTAGAACAGCTTTTGTCAAGCCTTAAAATTTAGAACCATATATAAGCAAATAATATCACACAATTTTGCACAAGTTTTGACATTTTTAGCTTTTGATTTTGAATTTAGACATTTACAGAAACTATTGCATTTGATGGGTATTAATGACAAGCCATACAAGTTTCAGCATCTATCAAATGCGGGTAAAGAGAATTGGTAGATCATATCAACAGACTTCAAGAA